AGGCAGTACAGGTCCAAACTGTCCATTGTCTTTTTGGAAAGTGATTGCGGTAATCTGCCTTCTTCAGCGAACCGCTGTAGTTCATAAGCATTTCAGATAGCACTTTCAACGTTAACGCTGAAGCTGTGGCGCCGGGCACCAACCCTCGAACCCTGCGTGAGTATGTGCACGTTTCTTATTTTGTTGCTGGTGCTTGTTTTTCGGCGGGATGCAACACGCGGGTCCTAGGCCTACTTCTTGCGTGATTATTCGAAAGGACTGCATACACCGGTTTCGTAATAGATTCAGTTCTAATTGACCTCCGAGTATTATATATATCTTTTAAATTAAATATCGAAGGATGAGTTTGTCTGTCCACTTTATTCTCTCCCTTTTACTTTGTCTTCCCGTTTCTTTCCCTGTCTCAGGGTTGAAACAATGACTATTACGCAGCAGTTCACCTGCACTATTCTGTTTCATACTTAGCGTGCAACGCTGTCAAAGCTACTGGCGCGAGCGCGTGGCTTCGTCAATGGTTTTGTTTGCGCGAGAACGCGTGCAAATGTTCAACGAGATCAAGCCCCAAGCTCGCGCCAGTAGCTTTGACAGCGTTGCACACTAAGTATGAAACAAAGTATAAATAAAAAAACAAACAAAAAACGCTGAAATGAATGAAAACCATTTTAAAGCAAAGCTATGTTTTTTTTAACTACTACTTGGTGTGCGTGCGGCAATCAAATATCGCAATGGGCCACTGTTTTATTTTTTATTTTTTTACCTACTTTGAGTGCAGCCATTAAATGGCATGATGAGCCACTCTGGCGTTTATTTTGGCAAAAGAAAGATGAGAGAGAAGCTTGTCTTGTTTCCTTTCTTCTGGATCTATTCTGCTATAATATGGCCCACAACTCTATTTGATTTCGCAGAAAAAAGCTTTGTTGAACGTTTGTCCCTAGGAAAAAATTTCATCTTATTTTTCTTTTGACCCAGGTGAGCTAATATTTTAAAACTCTTAAAGGGATGCTGAACAGAAATCTGGATTCCACAAAGCACGGCGGCAAAAGTGTGCAACGGGATGCTACGAACACCAAAACATCACTAATAACGATATATAAAATGGATGACCGTGTTTTTCAAAAAAAAAAAAAAAAGGGAGGCGCATTTGACATATATGTTCACTTCTTATTTCTCCGAGAGGAGCCAAGAAGGAGAGGGAACGGCCTCTCACCTTCTCCGCCTCGCCGCCTTGAGGGGGCGAAACAAAGAGAGGAGGAAACGAGATATCTTGACGTCACGCGCCTCGTCGGCCTTGTTAAATCTCTACCTTTTTTTCCCCCAAAGTATGGCCGTTGATTCGGTATATCACCTTACGAGTGGTGTTGTAGGAATTGTAGCGTCCCGCCTGCAGCTCCTGCATTGTTTTCTGAAATTCAAATTTTGGTTCACCATCTCTTTGAATGAGAAATGTGCCATTTATCAGTGTCTTTGTAGAACATCATTGCATGATACATGGAGATTCCAATTTATGTGGCCCCTTTGAAGAGCCACACTTTTATCGAGGTCTCACTGTAAATTGAAACGATCAATCATGCTGCAGCATTGTAATTTACACTGAAAGTGACGCTCTGTGGTACATTTGTTTGGTGCAAGCAACCTTTGCATACACCTTTTGTTCAGCTTGTCTCTTGTTTTGTGCCAGCAACCTTGACATACAACTTTTGTTCAACTTGTCTCGTCCTTGCTTTTGTTTCGGTGCCTATTCTATTCGCAACTCCAACACACTGTAGACGGCGGGGCAATAGTTCAAAGATGGCCAAACAGACAGGAATAAATTTTCCAGGACTTCCTTTGCACCTGCTCGCTGATCAGCGAGCCAAACTACAGTTATTCGGCTACAAATCCGAAGCGGTCAGAGCAGGAGCCTACCACAGGTGGAGATGTTGAGACGCATCAAGAAAAATCAGAATATTGATTTTTAAAAAAATTTCCAAGCCAAGCTCAACAGTTTTTATATTAAGACTCATGTTTTCCGGTAAATATGGCGTGTTCGTATGTTGGTGCATGATGGACCAACATGCCGACAGTCTCTGCCACCATCTCTGCTGTCGTCCCCGCTCCTCTGGTTCTTATAGCGAGTTTGTTTCACACGCATTGGCACTGTTTGAGTTCTCTTCCAAAATGCATCGCACTCGCGGAGTGTTGCATGGAGGACTGACCTCAAACAAACTTGCCAATTGCACCGAGTGCAGAAGACTGATGCTGTCGCCATCTACAGGGTGATTCAAGGAGAGGCCAGGCTCTTTAAATCGACCGCACAATTCGGTTTCTTAACCTATCTTGCTACGACTTTGTGCAGCGTTGCCCACAGATGGTGCATTGCCACCCGTCTTCAAACAACACGGTGGCGTTTTGCACGGGAGACAAGAGGTGGCGCAAGCGGTTGCGACGCCAACTGCCGCCAACGAACGAGCATAGACGCCGAGAGCCGGCATCTTTAGCAGACAAGGAACTGCAGTTCCTTGTTGTTACCGCACCTGTTTTTGTTTCTGCGACTGTCGCCGCCTGCGGAACGTGCGCCGTTTTTGAGTCAAAAAGAGTGTGTGCTAAAGACGCCAGCTCTCGGCGCCGTAGGCTCGTTCGTCGCGCCATCTCTTGTCTCCCGTGCGAAACGGCGCCGTGTTGTTTGAAGACTGGTGGCGTCGCTGCATTTCCATAGGAGCTAAGCCTTTTTCTTTCTTTACTTTTTCCTCGGGTAATTTCGCTTTTTGCAAATTTTACAAAGAAAATGCACCATCTGTGGGCAACGCTGCACAAAGTCGTAGCGCGATATGTTAAGAAACCGAATTTTGTGGTCGATTTAAAGAGCCTGGCCTCTCCTTGAATCACCCTGTATGTTGTAGAGGGAGTAAAGGCTTCAAACCGAAACTAGCGTCTTTCTGTTCGACGTGATGAATGGGAATGCGAGAGTGCATTCGCTGCCAACGTTTTTATGTAAACGTTGGTGGCTGTAACCTGTAGTTTACATATGCGATGACTTCGAGCAACTCGGCTAACAGCCGGCGTAAATTTCCGCAATCAGCGAGCAACTACAAAGCAGCTGGTTGCAATTTTTCAATTCTTATAACCGTTTATACTGGAGAAAACTGATCATGCTGTCTGCGCAGAAGCTTGGTTCGTTTTAGCATGCTATTATGCATGAACCACTGAAAGGGTACGGCTTAAAACTAGTCTGTTGGAATATCCAGCAAAACATTTGGTGGGACATTCAATCTCGATCGTCGGTACAGGTGGATCAGATATTAGCCTTGTCGAAAACTTTCCCAAACATAATACGCCGGGGCAAGATAGCTAAATTAAGTAAGTGTTAAAGGTGATGTTGCCCAAGCCTCGGGTAAAGTCACTATGTTTAGCTTTCTCGGATGCTTATTAGGCAGACAGGTTTCTGCTGAGATAGCTTTGTCAACAAATGTTTCATTTTTCACCCGCATATGGATGGTGATAAAGATATCGGGGGCCGCTGATGCGTTTGTTTGTTCTGAGCATTTCTTTACACACCGGTATATTTCAGCATCTGTACGGCAACAGGGCGACTAAAAACTTGTAAATAAAGCACGGGTTGTCAATTGCTTCCTTTATGAAACAGCAGACGCTCACAATTCAAGCTCGCGTTTGATTCCGTTGCCTGCAGGACACGATTTCTATCAGAAAATCTACTTTTTTTTTTCCTTTCGGTTTTGCTGCACATATGACACATCGTAGCAGACAAACCCTCGCCGGAGCGAGGCATGACAGAATTGCATTTCGGTGCAGCGAGTGCATGTACGCGTGGGGTGTCGCCGCTGAAACAAACTCGGGAGAGTGCAACCACTCGTGAAGTGCCGGCCAAAAAGAACTCGCTCTACGCTGCGAGTGGGCACGCGTGGACACGAGTGCTGTGAAACGAACTCGCTATTAGTTTGTATGCGAGACGACCGTCAAGCTGGAGTTGGGAATAATGGTGTTCCCTAGTGATCGGTAATTTTGACCAATTCGATGCTTACGTAATCCGCTCATTCTGGGTAAGCATCGTGTAGATTGCAATGATCTCTCATATCACTTCTAAAATTTCTCGTCGGTATTCATTACACTATGCGTGCAATCTTCCCTTCAACCTGGCTGAGCTACAGAAGTCTCTTACCATATAACCATTCTCGTGAATAGTTGTTTTAGCAGGATAGCTTAAAATGCAGAGAAAATACAACAACCAAAACCAGTATTTAGCTCAGAGTCAGCGGGGTTATTTATAGCATTTTGAGCATTCCTAAGTTAATATGAGCTTCTTGAGCTGTATGAGAATGATAACACTAAGAGATTCTTGCAGCTCAGCCAGGTCGAGGGGGTTGATGGGGCAAGCACAGTGGAAAAACGCTGGCATTGCCGATAAATTTTAAGTGACAGGTTAGGTCTCTGCAATCTACATGACTCTTATTCAGGAGGACTTCAGATTACACTCAAAACAGGTGCTCATCGAATTGGTCGAAATTTTCGATCACTATGTAAACTGAAGAAACACTTTGCTTGAAGTGACGCATTATGAGAAATCATGTTTGACCACCACTGCTGTTGGCAAAGTCACAATTAACAGCAGGTGTTTTGTATGGTTAGCTGCTTTGTCGCAAGTTTAAATACAAGCAAATAATGAAGATAAATTGTTCAGATAGGTATTTACTTGCGTCCAGAATTTCTTATCTGCTCTGCAGAAAGAAAAGGTTAAAACACCATAAGTTTAGGACATCAGTATTTGTAATGCCCTGATCTTCGAAGGAAGTTCTCCAGAATTTGGGGTGTTTTGCTATTCTGGATTCCAGTACCATTATCATAGGATGTGTGAGCTAGCAAACATTGACCCCTTTCAAACTGCTGCTTCTGCATACAGGATGGTCAAGCCCTTCGCAGTAGTGAAGTTCACTGAAGAGAAGGACAGTCTCGCAGCTGTGCCAGTCGGATGGCTGTCGGAGGACGAATTGTTTTGCACTTGGCTCATGCACGTGAAAGGGTGCCAACTCATAAGCCTGGTTGAAGCGCAGGCTCCACCTGGCGTTGTCGGCAAAGGCTGGGAGGTCTTCCCTGTCATTGTAATTAAGACCTACTGTAAGTAATTTGTTTACAGACCCATTGACTTTTCCTTTTTTTTTTGAGGTGTGTGATTGTGGGTCGTTATTTTTGCAGAAGAAAATCTAAACATCAAGCACATGATACTGTCAATGGGACCTAAAATACTTTTTAGTAAGTTTTAAAGTGATTTTAAACATTTTTTAGGCATTTCTAAGGTGTAAAGTTTTGAAAGTTCTTGGTCAAGCTCGGGTACTCAATACCGTCGAAACCAAAAGAGAAAACACATGTGTCCTCCTATTATTTTTTTTTCTCCAGATTCGGGTTTTTATGTTTAAAGGTCATCAGTTTGCCTGATTCCTATGTTATTTATATCACATACTCAGTTTGTATTTTTCTTTATAACCTGTACTGGTGTGCAGGCAGAGTTGTATGAAACAATTTCGCTTGGTAGCTAATTTGAGAAAATATGCCGTTATCTGCAGCTACTAGGTTTGAAAGCTGCAACTATATTTTATTCTCTGCTAGAAAGATGTGAATGCTTGCAGACAAACTTCATTGGCTCCGGAATAACTGTTTCAAGCTACGGCATATTGCAAGAATGGTCCAGAAGCCAGTACTCGTTATGATAAAACAAACTACACTGACGAGTGCAGTGGAGACACAGGCAGCTAGCTTTGTTTCTTCATACTAATCCTTCGAATTAAAGCTCGGCGTTTTGACGTCCCCTCACGCTCTCGCCTCCTCCTCTCCCTCACCTTCTCAGCACATACACAAGTCCATTTTTCTCTAGCAAAAAGAAAAAAAAATTGTCATGTAATGTATACACCAATTCAGCTTCCCCGCTAAATTTAGTAGGAATTTATCATTGTGTAGCACCGATTGCATATCGGTGCAGTCACGAGGTGTAGTTTGCTCCCAATAGACAAATTTGGACAACGAATTCTGTCATGCATATCTGAAACTTGAACAATTAAAACAATTAACTATCAAGAGCACACATAGTATGCATAAAAATATCTGATAAAGAGCACCGTGAGTGTATTGCTAAACGTTTGTGATGCTGGAACGTTTCACACACGCGTGACAGAATTTGCTATCCTAATCTGTTATGTAAAGTCAGCGTAGTTTGTTTATCAAATCAGTTATTTTTTTTCCCGCTGAAATGTGTCTTGCAGAACTATATTCAGCTGAAATTCTTCAATTTCAGTCTCCATACTTCAAACACAAATTTTATTTACAGGGACCTACAAAAAGGCTGCCAAGAAAGTTCGCCAGTACGTCTGGACCTCCACCGTAGAGACATCAGATTTTTCGGGTGATTACTGAGTTCCAAGGCTTTGTTAAAATACCTTGGGGCAAAATAATGGGATGTTCCGATGTTCTGATACATTGTTTTTTTTCCTAGCAAATGAGGCCTTGCCGGGAGTGGAAGCAGTCGTATCGCATCCCCCCCTCAGAATGCCTTCACCACGTAAGCATTCAGTTAGAGTAACCATTATCTGTATTTAAATGATAGGCTGTCTACAGTATTATTCACACTTCTTCAGTGAACAACATGCTTTGGGCATTTACGTGGCTTGTGGCAAGTAATAAGCTTCTGAATGGCTCTCTGCCATTCAGAAGCTCATTGGAGGTGCTGGGTATTTGAGAGGTGAAATCTGTTAGTTACTTTCAGTCTCAATGACCTATGAAATGTAGTTCTCTCAGGATATCTTTATGACAGATATTAGGGTACCTCTCTAAAAATATAATGTTACTATTAATATTTCTTAGGTTGAGGCACTCTGCATGGTTCAAACTAGGCAGCTTTGCTAGCCATCCACCTCAATAAAATTTTATTAAGTAAATTATAAATCACTTATGCAAACAATATAATTGGTGTGCTAATAAACCATTGTAGTGCCTAACCATGTTTGCTTTGTGTGGACACTGTCTTTATGCTATTCAGCTGCATTGAGCTCCCGCTCGTTGGTGGGGGGTCAGCACAAGACCAGCCAGGCAGGCAGACGCCAACCTCAGCTGCAACCTCAGCACAGCCAGGAGGAAAATGAGGGGGTCACCTGTGAGTCTGCTTGTAATTTTAAACATTCAGAGTTGAACAACTTGAAGATTGCATCAACAGAGCCGTAGTAAGACTGTCTTAATGCTATTCAGCTGCATCAAGTTCCCATTCGTCAGCCATAGGTTACGAGGATGACCTGGCAGAGACCCTGCAAGCGCAGGAAGTGAACCAGCCCCAGGACAACCAGAAGGCCAGTGAGGATCCCAGTCGTAAGAATTTATAAGTTTATACTTTTTAACATTCAGAGCTGAAATTAAAAGTTGCACCCGTTTGCTAGTGTGTGTATTTATGCCGTTGTGAATGGTGTCCTGGAAACAGATTGGGATAAGGTGTAACTAGAAGATAGCTTTGTTTTGTTGTTACATAAAAAAGCTTGAACTTGACCTTTAGAAAAAAAATTTTCAACAATGTGAAAAAAATATTGGTAGCATCTTTCGGGAATTTCTGGGAAATTGGAATTTACTAGTTTTTGTTGAAGTACTTGGACATTGCTGAAGGGCTCAAAATATTAATGGGGTAAAAAAAATGTATCTGCCAGTTAAATTTTCTTATATTCATGAAAGTACACATGCAACAAAAGCAAAGGGAATTTTTTTTTTTAACTTGGATGGGCAAAGTTGTAAAACAAATTTACAATGAACAAAAAAGCTTTTTAGAGCTATATTTACGAAGCGAAACGAATTTGTAGTTGGCGCCCGTGGAAAAGTCGTCGCTATTTATCATGTGATTGGCCGCTATTTATCACATGGTGCTTGTGCTCTTTCGGAAGCTTTCTATTGTCTCTAAAAGTCACTTATTCATCTTCGTTTGAAGTGCAACAAAAAAAAAAAAGATTAATAAGAACTTATAGAGCTCAAAGGAAGCTCCTTAAAGAGCGCAAGCACCCCGTAATACTGTGCTGTAATCAGAAATCGATGGCGGCGGCACGCCGAAGTCTTCCCTTCTGGCGGTGGCGCGGAGACACTCATTCAACTGGTGGTGCAGCACACTCGGTGTGCAGCGGCAGCACACAGGTCTACTAGTGACCAGCGGCGGCTCCCGCGAGTGCACTCTACAAATTAGTTTCGCACCAAAAATATAGCTATAGAACTTTTTTTCTTCGTTGTAAATTTGTTTTCTGACACTTTTTCGATCTATGCTGTTTAAAAACAAATCTATTTTCCTTTGCATGTGTCCTTTAAACAACAAAGGCATTTATTCTCAAGCATTGAAGGGAAAATGTTGTAATAAGGTGGTGAACTGGGCCAGTTGGTTGACGTTATACGTGATAGGGAAAACGACTCAGAAAACACGGACTATGAAGAGGAACAGACACGACAGGACAATGCTGTACTCTCAACTGAAGAATTTTAATAAAGGAAACAAAGACAGAAAAAAACATACACATCATCTTAAAAGATTTCACAAAACCAAAAGACCACTCTCGCCAACCATGAAGCGTGTCAATAAACTATTTCGTCGTTTACCCTGAGACTGGGGGGGTTTTTTGAAGAGCAGAAGAAGCAGAAAAAACAGACAGGTTTTTTCTGTTTCTTCTGCTCTTCAAAAAACCCCCCCAGTCTCAGGGTAAACGACGAAATGGTTGACTTCCACCAGCTAGCCTGTACTTTGACTCTTTTCTCGTCAATAAACTACCCGTTCACTACGTGACCCATTTTTTGCCGCAGGAAGGAAATCTTTTGGCTCATAGCGCCAATGACGGTTTGCTAAAACATGAATGAACATGACACAAAATGTGGTAGGCCTCAATGTTCTCTCTCGTCGCCCTATCCTTGTGCGCGCCCAGAACGGTGACTCTGCCAAAGTCAGGCAGACACTTGCACTCTGCAATGAATGGGCAAAGGCCCCCCAGCCGTAGCTCCGAGCGAATATGAATGCTCTCGTAATCTGTCATTCAGACATCTTCCTGTTTGCTCCACGTAGCACCTGTTACATGACAAAGGTATCTTATATACCACACACGAAACACAAGTGACAAACGGTTTTCTGTGCGCCTTGGTGCACTTTGCGCTGGAACGACCAACTACCCCCGCACCAATCCTGGAACATATCTGGCCCATTTTTTGGGGCGCCGAAAACACTACCACACGCTTCTTTTCCCTTTCCGGCCCCGTCCTCTCCACCCCCTTAGCTTTCTTAAGAGCACCAAGGCGCACAGAAAACCTTTTGTCACTTGTACGTGTTTCACAGGCACGTAGCCAGGATTTTGTTTTTGCCCATGACAAGATGCTGTATGGGGGGGAGGGGGGAGAGGAGGTCCCAGCAAAATGAAAGATTTCGGGGGGGGGGGCGGGGGGGGGGGGGGGGGGACCGGGCCCCATGGGCCCCCCCGGCTACGTGCCTAGTGTTTCGTGTATGTTATATAAGATACCTTTGTCATGTAACAGGTGCTATGTGGGGCAAACAGGAAGATGTCTGAATGATAAATTACGAAAGCATTCATATTCGCTCAGAGCTACGGCTGGGGGGCCTTTGCCCATTCATTGCATCGTGCAAGTGTCGGCCTGACTTTGGCGGAGTCACCGTTCTGGGCGCGCACAAGGATAGGGTGGCGAGAGAGATCATTGAGGCCTTCCACATTTTGTGTCATGGTCATTCATGTGTTAGCGAACCGTCATTGGCGCTGTGAGCCAAAGAGATTTCCTTCCTGCGGCAAAAAATGAGTCACGTAGTGAACGGGTAGTTTATTGACACGCTTCACGGTTGGCGAGACTGTTTTTTTGTTTTTGTGCAATCTTTTAAGATACTGTGTATGTTTTTTTCTGTCTTTGTTTCCTTTATTAAAATTCTTCAGTTACAAGTACAGCATTGTCCTGTCGAGTCTGTTCCTCTTCGTGGTCCGTGTTTTGTGAGCTGTTTTCCCTGTCATGTACATATTGCTTCTGCATTTTATAAATAGTGTTCCTAGGACTGTGTCAAACGATCACGCGACACCCTAAACAGCATGAGGAACAGAGCGTCACGGTAGCTATGCAAAAAAGTTGAAACAATGTTCAGCTTTATTTATTTTCAAATATTAAATTGAGAGATAAAAATATTGAGTTATTTATCGGTATTCATGTTTGTTGTACACTACTACATCACGGGACTGGAATATACCTCCTGTAGTTTTGTAACCATTGCAGCCGTGCTGCGTGTCCCGCCACAGCTCGCATTCATTGCGAGATGAGGTTGTGGAACCTTATCATGAAATAGAATTGTACAAAAACATAAAAGTGAAGCAATAAAAAAAAATTATATTCCCAACAAGATTTAAATCTAGGACTTCACAGAATCATCATCACTGAGGGACATCCGCGCACAGCCCCTTGGCTATTAGCACATCCGTTTTGGACCATTTATTTTCGTTGTGTAGTCTTAAGTTGGATGTTATACTTTCCCCGTGACTAGCTTTATAGTCATGAGTTTTCAAATAATTATTTTTGACCACAATCTTCCTCAGCAGTAACTTGACATGCTGATCCTCTAGTACGCTAAGGCGATTAATTTCGCTTCTATTTGCAGTATTTGTGTCCTTGTTCTGCTAGCGGATCAGCAATTTGTCCGGTTAAAGCGAAAACATGTTCACAGCTTGCAATTAGTTTATCGCGGTGTAATAGGCGACGCAAGAGCTCTGTGAGATCAGCGATCTTACAATGACCTTAGCATAATATCAGACGTCAGATTTCATCTGTTGACTTGTGTTAGAGTTGTGTTAGAGCCGCTGTTGGAGCGATATCTGACTCTCTGGCTTTGCCCATCTCGTTTGATCTGCATCGACATCTTGCGCAGGCAACAAAGATGTTCTATTGGTTACCTACCATGCGGTACTTTTAGAACTGCTGGCCGGGAAACTGAAATAATCTTTTCTGTGCTACTAAATGAATGTGGGATATATAGATGACAAACATATAGCTCAGAATTCTGAAGAAGCAAAAATATTCCCGACCCCTCTAAGTGCATGCATATTGTCCAATGCACCTTTGGTGTTATCACTAAATTAAATTTTCTTCTTCAGTGGCTGCAGATCTTTTGTAAACAACCAGTACGAAAACATGTTTGACAGCCGCAAAATGTATGCTCCATGCCACATTCAGCTTCACGGTAATTGCTGTGATAAAACTACTGTGCCATAATGGCTCTGTTATCCCCTTCGAGTGTGAGAAAAAAACAATGTGGTTTTATTAACGAAGATGAGCAGCATTTTCATAGATATCCAATGCAAATACCATGTCTCATGGACATTTTGTTGCATATCACGAAGTTGGGTCTCTGTTGTCCTTTATTTTGGACACATGAATTTCTTTGGTTACAAATTGCTGCATGGGAAAAAGTCTGCTGAAAATAAGTTTTAATAGAAGCACCCATAATAAATGAAAACATTCATCTATAGTTGCTGACAGTATTAGAGCAGGAGGAAGGCTCTTCAAATGTCCCAAATCCAATGCAAGCTTCCTACTTTCGATAATGTTTTGAAGTCTCGCGAGTCTTGAGCGTGCACGCATAGCCAAAGCACACCTGAAGGTAGCGAACACTTGCTGGAGGCCGGGCATCTGAAAAAGATGCCATTCTTATCCTGTCAGTTAGAATAGTCGCTTAGCCAAGGTCTGGAGTGGGACAAGTAGTGGATTGATTAGGAAGCTGATTTAGGGCAGCTTGCTATACATTGAAGTCGCTCATGTCATTTCTTTTATATTGTTTTTAACTATCTTCACTAAACAAATATAGGACCTGTAAATGTAGGTTACCAGCTGTATGCTGACAGGTTCAAGAGAAGTCTGAATGAAAATGTGCAAAGAGCTTGACATGAAAGTATTCTGTTCCAGGTGTCCAGCTGAAAATGATACACCTTTTCGTCGAAATTCGACAACAGAATAGGGACATCCTGCATCAGTTTTCACAGCTGAGGCAGGATGTCCTAGACATCTCTGAGAGGGTGGCCTTGCTGGAGGCACCGGCAGCTCAGGCAGCACGAGCCCCACAGGTCCTGCCCCTGATTCTCCCAAGGCTGCCAGCCGAAAGCCTTCAGGAGTTGGAGGCAGCAGAGGCAGCAGTCAAGGAGAAGGGTGTAGCCAAAGCCTTGGTAGTTATTGCCTTTTATATTTTAGGTTGCCCATATCAGTCTGTCCTTATTTAGTATTTTTTAATGCTACACTGTCGTGCAAAAGGCAGTGGTAACAGAGAATGTATTATATGTGTCACTGCATGGTGATGTTGCACAGACGAGCTTAGTACACATTTTACAACTTCATGGCATAAACATCGTCATACAAAGCCTTTCTGAAAGAATGTCCTGCCAAAGTTAGTGCTCCAGCTGCAGAGGAATGTGCGGTATGTGTGTCTAGCCGTCACACACCCCAGTGTTGTCCCAACTATTTCTTAACCCCATTTTATTCGAGGCATCTGCTTGTTTTCTTCCCATTTGCCTCCGGCACACACTCCCACGTGGACGATAAATGGATTAATTTTATACTCCTTTTCATCTTGCGACGTACTGAATGGATGCTACAAGACAAATCAATCTATAGTTTGTGGTGTGTCGAGGACAAAAATTCCAGCCAAATGTCGATGCAGCACTCGTGTGGTATTTTTTCACAGCAGGAGTGTGAAGCTGGAAGCTGCTAGGAGCCAACTTGGTAATGGGAAAACTGTTGTTTCTTAACCTTTTTAATGCGAGCAAGCTATATACCTAAGCAACTTTTTGTGGTAATGTACTGAAAGGAATAGGCATGCATGCTTGGCATTAAGGACGCCTATGTTGCGCACACGTGAATGATTTGGAGGATAAGTACAGGTACGTTCTCGTTGAGCTGAAGGTTGTTTCAAAGCTGCACATCTGATGTATCTTTAGGTACATTTCACGTGGAACGCTTAATTAGCGTTGTTTAAACATTTATGCAGAAGTGCTTTCTATCAAAGGAGTTAATGGGTAACTCCTCAGTTCCAAACGTATTTGAGATTAGGGGTAAATTATTGTAAACTACTAAATCCACTCACACAGTAATATGCGGCTCGTGCAGCATTTTTAGCATTAAAAAAGAGAAATTTAAAAGCATTTCCCTGTTTCACTTTTATCGGAATGCAATCTTCCTCCCCGTGACCAAAATGTACAACATGCATGGTGCCGCCTCGCATCGCATGTGTCTAGATCAGGGGTGGCCAAGCTGCGGCTCGCAAGCAGCGTGTGGCTCGTGACCCCCCTCCCTCCTGGTCACACGAGCACTTCCCCACAGAGAGAGATAGGATGTATTTTAAATTGAAAGACAGGTTGCAATTTGGTAGTCTTGTGCTACTACTACCTTAAGTAGAATTGAGTTGCTTTTGTCCCTGATAGATTGAAAGTTGGGAGTTTTGTTTATTGTTCTGTACAAGACCCCCCACCCCAACCCCCACACAGTTCTTGGTAGTTTCGTGGTTTTGTTTACGGATCTTTCCGCCGAATTTGCAAACCTCACTCCAATTGCGGTGCCCCTCCACTTCCTCTAGGAAGGCGCGAGGGCCGGGGCTGTCCAATCGCAAGGAGCCTAGGCCACCAATCCGTCGTCGCGATTGGCCAGCACCGGCCCTCGCGTCTTTTTTGAGGAATTGGAGGGGTGCCTCAATAGGAGGGAGGTTTGTGAATTCAGCGGTTAGGCCGGGTCAGCCTGGCCACCCCTGGTCTAGATAGAGCTTCCGGACTTCCACTTGAGGCTTGCCTTGTTGATGTCAATGCCCATCTGAACACGCACCTCTACGTGCGATGCATGGCAGTGCACGCATGTTGCACCATCATGCATCACAGATGATAAAAGAGAATCATATGTTTTCTCATTGCTAGCCGTCCGCCTGCTGCACGAGTGGTAACTTTAGTGCACCCCACATGCTTCACACACGCTCAGCAAGTTTCCAATTGGAACCATATGTTTATTTTTAATAAAGGGTTATTATTTTTTTCATTCGTGTGTTTTTTATAATCCTTGACGTCCGCCGGCGGTTTGTTACCCAGTTTTTTTTTCTCAATCACCCTATTCATGGGGATTTTTAAGCATATTAGCAGAAACACCTAGCATAGTATTTGAATGAACCTTTGAAACCGTCTTTAAGAAACTGCCGAATTTCAGTCGTGGCTGAGTAACACAATATAAATATAAAACTAGCATTTATGGAATATGGATTTTAATTACTAATGAAATTAAAGATGCTCCTTGAAGCACTTTCATGCTGCCAGCACCTGTGGCTAAATTGTTCAGGTTTTGGGAGTGTTTGCATCTTTGTTGCAGGTGTAGAATGAAACTATGCAGGTGGTACTAGAGAGCAATTTTAAATTAGTTTTTATTACAACATGGCACTTCTATACATAATTTGTGGTTTTATAGTCATTGTTTTGTTTTACAGCAAGATCAGCTGCTGAAGATTGGGGGCAGGAACCTTTCAGAGGTAACTGCTGGCATCATGAAGAGCATCATGGGTCATCCGGTCCAGGTGCTCTTCAGCCTCTACGGCCGCAAGGGCAAGAGGGCCTTTATCAATTTGGGCCTGTGCACCATTGCAATAGGTAATATTCAATTATTGAAATTCCTGGCTGCCCTACAAACTTCATTATGGAACCCCATAGTCACTGACAGGGCATGGCCTGATATATGCACCACTGCCCATCGAGCGTGATGCTGCACTCAACAAGCTTGACCACACCCTATTTCGATTGTACAAGCCCCATGCCGGTAGGATTAGGACATATGTTGCTTAAAATTGTACCCTGTACATATTAATATCTGTTCATTTTTATGACCTGTAAACAACACAAACCCAGAAAGGACAAATGTTAAATTACGGTGAGGGTGCAGGCGAGCTGGTGTATACATTACCATTTTGATGAATTACCCAAGACCGAGGCAGGAAACCTAGAAACATCCAACTGTGGAAAAAAGTGAAAAAGGTGACAGGAGGAACGTCCTCCTGTCACCTGTCATTTTGTTTTATGGTTAATGGAAAAAAATAACCGTGGCAGATTGAAAACGGTGATGGAGCAAAGTCCTTTTGTCTCCTTTTTTAATCTCTTCCATGGATGGATGTTTCTTGGTCTCTTGCCCCAGTCTGAGGTAATTCATCAGAAGGACAGAAACGAGTTATGGAACTTTTTACTTGTAGCTGACCAGCACACTACACTTAGACTTCGTTTACGTTCGCTACACGTTTTCCTTGAGATAAGGCAACGGTATTAAAATGTGCTGCAAGCATTGTATTTGACAACCAAATGAGTGCTGTATTCTCATATTTTGAACTGTTTTACCTTTATGACACTTTTTGAGTTTCTTATTGCAAGTTTCATTAGAACTTGTATGAGACCAAGCATTGCCCCGTGCAGAGTGAGAAAAAGGCTGGAAGCCAATTGTCAAGAAAACAGCGGGGCCTACAGATGCGCTTTCTTGCCGGTTTCGTCCTGTCGGTGACTATAGTCACGGTCAATGTGCTCTGGTAAAAAGAAAGTGTTTTTAATTAAAATTTTTAAACTCGTGGAACGACTTTGCAGATGCCATCTGTCAAAAAAGGTCCGTGGACAGGGTTCAAGCCCAGGCAGTCATCGGGAGGTGGCTGCCCGGCTCAGTGGATCGAGGAGGGGGCAGGAGAAGGAGATTTGAGGCAGCCCTTGTCTCTGAGCTGCCTCTGGTCCAGCCCCTGCCCCTGGTCCAGACCCCTCCTCAGTTCATTCCTGAGCCTGCACACTAAGATTGCTGCCTGGACCCCTGCCAAGCCCACCCAAGCAGATGCTAGTGTGGTCCATAAAGTCTACAATTTTCTGAAGGTTCTGAACTGTTCATATTTGCATGCCATATAAAATTGCACGGGACAAAGTACTTAGTTTTCTCTGTAGGCTTTCTTTTCAATAAGTTCTCTGTGTTACTGAATGGCTGGCTAAACAATTGCAGTCAATATTTGAATAGTCTATGGACAACAATGGGTGCCTGATCTGGAACAGCCAATGTACAGCCTCCAGATCTTTTAACAACATCGCGCGAACGCCGACCAGCTGGTAGATCGCCGTCTTATTGCTGCGCGAATGAGTATAGGTCAACAAGACTAGGCGCATGCCACAGAAGGCTCTCCTAGCCTCGCTGACTTGCTGTTTTACGATGCGATAAAGCGCAGATCTACCGGCCGGTCGACGTTCGCGCGATATGTTAAAAACAATTCTGGAGGTTTTACGAGAACGGCTGCCAGCATTGGAATAGCCAATGTGTATGATTGGCTGCCAATATTGGGTTGGCCAATGTATATGAATGGAAGCCAATATTGGATGAGCCAGTGGTAAAGGTTGGATGCCAATAATGGTTGAAAAACGGTCAGCCAATAGTGGGCCATGTTGGCTATGCCATTGGCTAAATCATGGCCCATCTTGGCACAGAACGATGGTCCAACATTGGATCGGGTAGCGCTTTCAAAAAAAACCAACGTCGGACCAAGATTTGTGCCAGGTTTCGCCAATGATGAGCCAATGTAGGTCCCACATTGGTGTGCTGCCTGGGTTACTTATGGCACTGCATGGCACAACATGCCCATCCTCTAATACATGTCTTCTCCTTCGAGGAGAAGTCGTGACGTGGCAAATTCCTTTGGCGAGGTACTCGTTAGGGCTTGATTATTTAGGGGGGGGGGGGAAGGTAATGAGGGCTGTGCGGATATCCGCCAGCAACTGCCGAACCACACTAGCAGCTTCTTACTTTAGACAGAAGCGTCAGTATCGGCAAGCACTATGTATCCGAAACCGAGTGTGTGGCGCAACGTAACAGTGCTCGCACAAACAAGACAGAATCTCCTTATGCATACTGGTGACAGCAAAATTTCTATCAACAGCAACGAGAAAACAAACTGAAGGAGACCAGGTGGCACAGAGCCGCCAAAAAAATAGCATTCAGAAAATGTCGACGCCGTCGCTTCCGCCGGAACGAACGCATTCCTCAAGCTTCAAGCGTGCTTTGAAGCTTTTTAAAAATGAAAAGCAGCTAAGAACTGTTGTAATTCAGCGCCCACAGAAGTCACAAAAATGGCAAGCTTTTATTTAAAAATTTAAGGCTCGTCAATCGTTACAGATACAAACTAGCATAGAGCCTTTCCGTACGATTGCTTCACGTGTCATGTGCTCTAATCCTTCCAACTATGCTACTGGAGCGTCCGCAGTCTGCACTATGCTGAAACCGTTATGTTTTGCGGACACTGTATCACCGTGTAAACCTCGGTGGCAATGTAACTTTCTACTTACTTTGCAGACATGGCATTGTCAACGAGCCACTCGCTGCAAGGTGTTACAAGGATGTGCTCCGAGGACTAGGGCACCAGGTCACAGTCAAGTCATGCGGGCTGTTCGTCGACCCTGAAACCCCATGGCTTGGGGCATCACCAGACAGAGTTTTGCACGACCCCGCGGAGGACCCCCCTCATGGGATTGTGGAAATTAAGTGCCCCATTCCCTTTACAACAAAACTGTTGAAGAGCTTACCCATGCGGACTTCTGCTCCAAAGTAAGTGGAGATTGCACAAGGCTGAAGGACGATCATCCTTTTTATTATCAAGTCCTCGGACAAATGGCGCTTTCTGGGCTGCAGTGGGCAGACTTTGTTGTCTATGGAAAAAATTTCATCCTAATTGAAAGGATGAGGTTCAATGCAAAAGTATGGCAGAGTGTGAGTGAAAAGTTTGAAGATTTCTACTTTAATGAACTGCTGCCACACTTGGAGTGCAGACGGTAGTTGCTGCGCTTTGAATTGCAGAGTAGAGTAAGCTGAACCATTCTTTGCACTCACTTTTTTCTGAATTTTTTCTGGTTTGGAGTGAGGTCAATGTTACCCATCTAAGTGGTTTGAAAAATCTTAAAACGATAAATAATCCCTCGAGAAGGGGACAAACGACAAACACAAAATCTTCAACAATAGCTAGGTGACTGGTGCGTGGATGAAAAAATCTGCCTGGTCCTGGTTTCCAACCAGGGACCTCTCCATTTTCAGTGGAGCGCTCTACCAACTGAGCCAACCAGGAGTTAGACATCAGTAGAGCAAACGGGCTTTAACAGCCGCCACCAGTCTCGCCACCAACAAGGGCGAGTCCTGCATTAACACCCCTGCATTAATTGCATTACTTCATAACCTTAATGTAGGACCCCCCTTGTTGGTGGCAAGACTGGTGGCGGCTGTTAAAACCCGTTTGCTCTACAGACGTCTAACTCCTGGTTGGCTCAGTTGGTAGAGCGCTCCACTGGAAATGGAGAGGTCCCGGGTTCGATACCAGGACTAGGCGGATTTTTTCATCTGCGCACCAGTCACCTAGCTAAAGTTGGAGATTTTGTGTTTGTTGTTTGTACCCTTCTCCAGGGATTATCCAGCTCGCCTACACTCCTGCATTAATTGCATTAACTTAAAAAATCTCTTCGACACAGGGAATTTGTTTCTTTTTAGGGTGTGTGTGATTTCTTCTGTTGTCCTTGTGTTGTATATTTCATTTATGTTGAATACATTTTCGATGTAAAAGATTTTTTAAACATACGAAGCAAATTTCAGCTAATTGTAAGTCACCTTGTACCATGATGTTTTGTTTTTTTTTCTGGGTGAGGGGGGGGAAGAGAAGGAAGGGGGGAGGAGGAGTGTGATCTCTTCTATGTTGTCTTTGTATCAGTTCTTTGTGTTGAATGCATTTTTCATATAAAATTTTTTTAAACATACAAGTGTCCCTGATCTCCTGTCAATGCTCACTCCTCCTTGGATGAACCTCACTCTGACGAAAACAGTTTCGAAGTCGTGCAAACCGGTGCTACAGGAGCCAAACCCCACTCTATTATTTTTAGGCACCAACCTGTTGCTTACAAAGCATCAGCAGCACTACCCATGCCTGTAATTTGTTTAGTATTCATGCTGTAACTGGATTACTTTTGTGATTTTAACAAAAGTCTGAAACCAGTGTTTGATCTTGGTTGAAAGACTGTGCTTGGGGGGCTTCAGGTCACACATACATGGTGTAATCGATTTATGAATGTGACTTTCCATGCCTTTTTTTCTACGCAATTTACTGTCAGCACAGACTTCAGACCTGAACTCTACAATTGCGTCTGCAGAAAGGTCTCGGACATGTTTCCTTTCAATACAAATAAATTTATCTGATCAACCGCTTGCTGCATGCACGACCCCACACAGTTTAGTTCACAGAAGGAAGGCGGCAGAACATGACGGCTCTACCCTCTCTTGCTCTGTACGAAGAGCCAACAAGGTTGTTGCATGGGCACAAAGACTGCTGAATCCACAATGCATTGCAGGAATAGCGGTGTAGTCGAACTGGTTGATGACATTGGTTTATTCAATTGAACTCTCTTATACGAGAAAAGCCGATCTTGAACAATTGGAACGGTACAATTGGACGCTAGAACTCGAAACAGCATTCTGAAATGAGTATCTGACGCAGAATCACGGTAAATCAGCTTTACCATAGTCACATAAATGACACCTGTAAGATGCGAGCATATGAACGCTTCCCGAAGTGCAAAATCATGTGTTAGCAGGGTAAGTTGCCCCGTGCAGTTGCTCTAAGAATTGTTGGTGTGTTGGATAGAAAAACATTATGCAAAACTCAGCTGAAAGGATCAAAGGTTCATTCACTTATATACAAGCATTGTGAATTCTGTTCAAGCCAGTGGTCATCGTTTACACAGTACTGGAGGCTAGCAGTTGTACAGTCTACTAAAACTTCCCATTTTCACTCGTCAGTAGTTGGGTCAACCTGCGAGAACATTTCCATGTACAATTTACTCGTTATCCTTAATCAATGGTGATTGCAAGTTCGTGAGTATGGTACAAACAGTCCAGATTTGGTTAGCAAGGGGTGCCAGCGAGATGGGGATGGGTCGATCAAAGATGTGGAACGACTTAATTCTTTGAATGCGTCGCTCAACATGGATCCTCAAAGCTGCAATGTCCTGGGTTTCCTCCACTTCCTCAACTGAAAATTTGCCCCGATTTAGAAAAGGAGGGATATTAAGCGTGACACCAAGATCTTTTAGAAGGTCGGCAATCTTGAATCCTTTGTCAGCCATGACAGAGTCCCCTTGATCAAAAGGCGTCGTGAGCAGTCCACTCTTTATCACAATTTCTTTGTCAAAGACAGATCCCATATACAACTCTGACACAAATGTCACAAGGCCATTAGGCGAAATGCCGACGAGACCTTTGAATGTGTTCGTTGACTTATAGTAAGAGTAAGTTCCCGACTGTGTGACAAAGGAACTTGCTACTTCGCATCTGACTTCCGTAGCATCTATGATGACTCGCGTCGTCGGATACTTTCCCAAGAACGCAACTGGCATAGTGGTGTCGATGGCCTCCCGTGGCAGCCAAAGAGCCAGCTGGGTAAGGTTCAGGTAGAGGAAGCTTATCCATGCACTGAACAATTTTGACACGGTGCTCATTGAAATGTCAAACAGATGGCCTAGGTGTTTGTGGAAGATTCCGCCCTTCAACTTCATAAGGACCAGAAACAGCTGGTTTTCTGCCGACAGCTTTCGTCGCCGGCCGGCCTTCTGCGAGACAGAGGAGTGCCCCCCATGTTGCATGAGAATATTTCCCCCATTTTCGCCAGCGTTGACAAAATTTAGAAGAATAAGGAAACTCCGGTGATTGGGCAACCCAGTATAAAACTGAATGTCCTCATCATTGGCTCGGAATTTCTCTACGCCGAAGGGCACACTTCTTGCTTCTAGCACTTCACATTTTGCAAGTGCGGCCTCCAGCTGAGCTT